AATGCCGCGAGACAAAGAGGTAAAGGTACGCACATGACGTATACGCACCGTGGTGCAATCTTCTGCTGCAATCTGGTTATCTCGCGAATCGCAATGTTGCTACTGCACTAGTTACGACCCAAAAGTGACGACTTTTGAGGCAGAGAGCAAAACGGGTATTCTCCACCTGCAGAAAATGTGGAATTTCAAAGGGGGGGAAAACCCTACTGGAATATCATGTCCCCACATAATTGACGTTGTGGTAGTACACGATACGATTTCTTATGATAGGAGCCTATTGACAGTTTAAAAAAATTACACATAAGGAGGGGTATGACGGAAATATTTTAATATAATTATTAGCTACTGGACATTCCTGCGATGTTAATAACTTGCCTTGCTTTTGCAAGGTATTAATCAATATCCACCTAATTATAAAAAAAAACCTATTCCGTTTATTTCTACTTCCTACAAAACATTATTTCTTTCTAATTTTAAGTGTAACCTAAAAGCTGGTCCCAATCGTTTTCATGGCCAAACTTTTTGGCCGCATCTAACGAGCTCTTGAGAATGGAGAAACAAGAAAGCATTTCCCGCTGCACAATCCCCTGGCAACTTTTAGCGAGCATAATTTCAAACAATTTAGTTAAGTTCCAGTGGCATTTCATGCTGTTTACATAAAGCAAATACACGTACTATGAAGTTGAAGGTGGGTCTTCAGGAGGTGGGAAAACCCAGGATCAGGGACACGAGCAATATAAGGGCTCGGGCAAGGTAAACGAAGTAAATTAAACAGCGGGAACAACAACAACTGAAATGCCCACAGTGGGCGTTAACGAAAGCGTAGTTAAGAGGGGCACGAAGAGGGGACACACTTAAACAGGCAACATACACTAAGGATAAAACTCTAAGAATGTTATAAATAAGTAAGAAAAAGTTGGCGTCAAAATAGTATCTTTCATAAAACGTGAAAAGGTTTGATTTGTGACTTCAAACCAATGTTACTTTCTTGTCTATCTATAATATGAATTTCCCCGAATTAAGGACTATTTTTTCGACTGCATCCCAATGTGAAACAGAGGACCAACAACAAGCACAATAACGAATAACAAGCCAAAGGCATGCGAAACAGCAAAAAGCAAGTGAAACCCAATAACATAAAAGCAAAAGAATTTTTTGCCAAAGGATGATGGCCAACCTGCAGAAGGGGGTTGCGAGGGGAAGGGGTTGGGGCGGACAAGTAGAAAAACCCGCTTACAGCAGCGAAAAAAAAACCCCGACGCCAAGCCAACCAACGACCTTGATAAGTTTTACACCGTACAGGGGAAGAGGAGAGAGACTGAGAGATCCCAGCAAAAGGAGCGAGCGACTCTCTCTTGTTAAGGCAAAAAAAAGGGCGGCAAGGAGAGAGGCCACCACAATCGATGCCCCCAAAACATGGTGAGTTTTGCCACGCGCGAGAGAACTCACTCTCTCTCTCTTTTGCTCTCTCTCATCAACAAGTGGCCCAGCTGTGAGTAGGCTGGATAAAGGGGTGTGAAGGGGAGTGGAGGTGGGTGGCGAGGGGAGTTTATTAGCTCCTTACTCAATTTGTTTTTTTGTGTCTGTGTGTCAGAGAGCTGGCTGTGTCTCTCTTTGATAAACAGCCAGTGGTGAGTTTGTTTTCCTCTTTTCAGCCTGATTATCATATTCTGCGTTTTATTATTGAATTTCTCGAAAATTTGCCCGTTTGTTTGTGTGTGTGTGACGCATGTGTAAAGTGCGGCGCACAATTTGATAGAAGAACCGCCCACCGCCCCCTTTTTGCACCCCTTTCACCACCCTCCCTCCCCCTTAAATACAGAAAGAAAAAACAAATTCCGCCAGTTAGTCTGACAAATATGTTTGTTTGTTTCATCCTCTCTCTTGCTCTCTCTTGTTCCACAGTCAGCTGCCAAATCAGCTGTCTTATTTAAGGCAAATTCATTTAGTATTATTTAACATTTGAAGCCACAAATGGAGAATAGAAAGCGGAAGATTGTTGGAAAACATGTGTATGGAAAATTTTGATCTCTCCTATATGGCAAAAAAAAAAGCTAAGTGGACTCGCTACATGGCAAAAAGAAAAAGAGTAAAATGCAGAACGACAGCTACAGCAACAACTACAACTGCCTCCATTGTAGTTACCTGCAACGTGCCTGAAATTTCAAAAATACAATATCAAAACCAACGCGGAACCAGAAAGATACGACAATTTGGCAATACGACACTAGAAATACCCTAATAGGTTTGTTTAAACATTATTAAATGAAACAAACTTTCGTTATTTTCCTATTACATAAACATAGTCATACATCATACATTTAGCTTTAAGTAAACAATATTGACTTTGCACATTAATGTTATATTTGATTTTATTTATTTAATTTGTTTATATTTGTACATCGGATTTCTTAAGTCATACCTACAGTGTTCAAATAATTTATACTGAAAAGCATTAAAAACTTTCTTAGTAAGAGGTTTAAAGTGATATTGACTTTTCGGAATATTTTATCCTTTACATTTTCCCGACATAAATTATCTCATTCTCTACATCGCTGATATGATGATATGTTAGCTTAGCTTACTTCTTAGTACAACCATAAACCTTCTTCAAGAGTATTTCAAGCGCCGTGCTGCACTTGCAACTGCCAAACGAAACGAAACCGGACTCAACTGGACGCCCGCCCCTCGCACACACACCCATTAAATTCACACTCACACAACCTTATATTATTACATACAGACACACATACTATATCTATATAGACGACGCCTAGTTGAGCATTTTGAACGACAACTACAGCGGACAAGCCATAATTAATCAGGCCTGGCCGGCAATATTTTACAAAAGCGAAACGAAAAATTCCTCAACAACTTCCAAGACGGAGTTTCTGCAGATCCTTAACTAGAAAATTTTTTAACTTTGCTGCCAATTTGGCCTTATCAATTGGCCAATAACACGTGCATTTCCCTAGCACTTGCTGCGTTCCATTTGGCTGAGTCAATCGCATACTTCCTCTAATCACGAACGAAATTTTAACAAATCGGTTGAAACTTGTTTTTTCTCCATAGCAACATTAATTCGCATATTTTTACAAATTATATTAAAGCTCAAATACCTGTGTACATACATCTATACATACACATATGGAGTATTAGAAGTTGACAAAGACAACAACAAAACAAACATTCTCAATTTTTCGTGTACTTTGAAAACTTGTTTTATTTTTTTGCTTTTTGTTTGCTCTGCCTTTGCTTGTAAGCTTATTGAACAATTATATTATGGCATAAAAAATGACAATAGCTCAATAAGCGATGTTTGCATGTGCTAACAGGTAAAAAAGGGTTGTGAATAACTCTGGTGGCTTACGTTAAGAGCCTTAAGTTTAAAGATTTAACTATCTTATCGTATTTCATTTCTAAGCTTGTGTATTCGTTGCTCATCAAACATCAATACAATTAGTACTTAAAAGGAATTTTCCATCGATTTCATCTTTATAGATAGGTTAGGGTTTAATAGTTGATGTCCAAACTGAGTCACTAAATTAGAAGTTATGGAAATAGTAAGGAAATTTCTTTCGAGATCTTGATATATTGAATATAGCTAAATAGTTCTGTTGGGCATTTAAGAAGATTTCGTTAAAAAAAGATAAATAATCTTATTTTAAAGATCGCCTTAGTATCGTGATTGTGCAAATTCAATTCATGTATCGCAGATTTTCCAGACCCAATGGAATATTTGCACTAAACATTTAGCATGCAAATAAAACAATTACAATAAATTATCGAAGAAAAACCCAGTTACCCGAGCAGTGATTTTGTAATAGCGTTTCATTGGGTTTTTCTCACCATCACGAACACAATGCAAAAATGTGAGCTAATAATTGAGTATGTTTCGCACAGTGTAAGTGGGGGAGGCAATGTCCGCCTGCCTCTTGATTATTTTTTCCTTTTCTTGTGACTTAGTCTCTTTAGCCTGCCCCTCAATTGTCGCTTCATTGAGAAAAGAAAAATAAACAGAAAGTGTAGAGGAACAGACACTTAGTTCTTTGCTGCATTTGGATAAACCAATCTGGTATGCAAAACAAAACTATTAAGTGGGAAATTCGAGTTTATAAAACTGCATTATGGAATAGATTGTGGGTACAATCTAATACTTTTTTATACTTTACTTTAAATATAGATATGGAAGTATGTATAATTTGCGGATCCCTAAAATAAAGGCAAAGGTTTACGGTTCACTAACGATTTTGTTTGTTCTTCCAAGTCAAAAGTTTAATAAATTTGGAGAGTTATATGCAGGTGCTAGAACTTTATATCATATAATTTTAGCTTTCTAGATGATTCTAAATGGCCAGTAAAAATGCTATCGACTTTTGGACTCAGCCATTACAAGAAGTGCAATCGAAAAGGTGGAAAAAGTGGCAGAAACAGAAAGGCTAAATTCAACTTACCGTCGCAAGTTCAAGGCCAAATGGCTCTCCCTCTTGCATTGGTGCTCTCTCCCTCTCTTCTCTTTCTCTCATGCGTTGCTCTTTTTTCTCTCCCTGTTCTGTAAATTGTTGTTGGTTGTGCTACATGTAAAAGAACTTTCGTTTTCCGCCTGCGGGGGGAGGGTTGGTGGGTTGGGTGGGCGAAGTGGCCCACATGCAACTACCGTTAGGTCGTTTGTTTTTGTTTTTCTTTCGTTTTCGCACTTCTTGCTGCCTTTTCTGTTGTGTTGTTGTTATTGTTTTCTGGTGTGTTCGCCAAACAGGAGCGACTTTTGTAAATTAATTAACAACACTCGCACACTCACTCCCAACAAACACACACACACAGACGCACACACTTGCGTTCATCATGCGAGCGCGCGCTTCGAGATAAGCAAAGCAATTTATTTGCACTAAAATTTACTTTTGCGCGCTGAGGAGCAAAACGTGGGCGAAGGGGGAGGGTGAGAGGGATTGGAGAGGAGAACTCACCACACACACTCACTCACACACACACTCACGCGACCGACGTAAGAGCGCACGTTTTTGTAGCCTTTTTATTATATATATTACAGATTATATTGTCAACGGTTTTTCGATCTGATCTTTTACATTCGGCTAGTTTCCGATTAAGAGTCTGCGTTTCGAAATCAATGCGATCGATTCAAAGTCTGATCAGATCGGTCCAATCGGAGCCTACGACGAAACAAGTCAACAACGACGGAGCGCTACAACAAATGTGCTGCGGGAGCTTTGAGCGGTTGGGTCACACTCGTCTGGGAATATGGTCACACTTGGTGATGGCAATGTGCCGATATATTGTTTACGATATATGTAAGGCGCCAACACAAAATTATGATGTGAAAATTAAATTAGAAAATGTTGAATTTTTCGGAAGATACCATACATTTTAACACATAATACTTAATTATAGAATTCATGGACTTAATTTCATTATTTTTCAGTATTCCATCTTCCTGAAGTTAAATATTATCTTCATATTAAAGGACTGCTAATGCTCTACACGTCAGTTTGTTCACACATAGGTATAACGAACGAAATGTATTTTATAAACACACATCTTAAAATAAACGAATTTAAATTTATGAAAATAACGATTAGTCAAACATTTTCCCGCTCCTTCATTAGTCATGATTTGCAGCCCAAAGGAAATAAGAGGTTTTAAACTATAAAGATTTAATCAAGTAACTATTTTCACAGCAATGGTAGATTAGCTTTTAGAGCGTCGAACTCCTTTTTTCCTAGTGGTTTGAGATTAGTACCCGAGAACGGTGACTTAAACTCTAAATCGCGATGTTTATTGACCAAAACTTTTTGGTCTGAATAAATCAGGTTGATTTGTTGTTCAATTTGCTGTTGATCTGTGGAGAATCCTAGTAAGTGTTGAAATATATATGTAAAAGTGTAATCTACCTTTCTTTAACAGATCAAGGGCCTTATTCCGTTCCATTTTTACAAGCATGCTGCCAATTGTGATCCAAACTTTCTTGTCCTCTGACTTTTCCATTAGCCGCATTGCCTCTCGAGTCTGCTGGCGTCGCTTATCCATCACCGTCAATTCTTGCTTATTGACCATGATCTTGTCAGCCAACTCCTCAGTCTTCGATATTATTTCAATGCTTTTGTCCAGATCTGTTTGCGACATTTTGCAAGTGTTTTTTAACAACAATACTAAACAAAACGCGGAAGTAAACAAAAATGCTAAAGAGTCAATAATGCACTAACGCGTAATGGACAGCTGTTTAACCAGGGGCGTAGAGTGGGGTCTGAAGTAGGACAAATATTTCCCATTCCTGGGAAATATAAACAAATTCAGTTGTCAATTTTTTTTTTGGGAATATATTTGTTTACAATACGCCCATCGTTAATTTCTTAAGGGCGTCTAATAATTATTCCCACATCAAATTTGGTCACACTTGTATAACATTAAAAGTGCACAGCGCGGACCCCTACAAATTCGGTCTACCTGCGCCTTTGCTCACATCGCATCTCATTCGCAAGCAAAGATGGCCGCGTCATAAGTAATTCTGTAGTTTTGAGACTAGACGTTTGTTTACGTGCATTATTACACCGGACTGGATCTCGACCAGAAGTCGTAGAGCTATATATATACAAGGAAATCGAAGCAATGCATTCCACCGACAGAGCCAAATGCCTGGGCAGCAAATCCATGGCAATCTGTTGCCTACTCCTCCATCTCTTCCTCTTCCTTCGGCCAGCAGTGTCACAGGTAAATCTAAAGAGATAAGCACGGTTTTATCTAGTTGTAGAGTTTTTTTTAGAACCCTACCGATCTATGACACACGGAAACATATGTTTCCAATATGTGCAGATGTTTGCCATATTGATTTAACTGCAGTTGTATGTATTTTGCGTGTGTGCGTGGGTTGCTGGGTGCTCCGTGGCATTTATTTTCCCTACCCTTTGCTAATCTTAATTTTAAATCTACTATTCAGACTCAAAGTTCGCCTCGTTATCTATCTAATGTGGACAACAACAGCAACAACAACGAGCGCCTGCAGCAGATTCTCAAAGGATCCGGGGCAGTATCAGGGGTCACGCAGCTTAATTGGCCACAGCCACCCAAACAAACGATTCCAGATGTCAAGACTGAGCTGGCTAAGCTAAACAACAGTGAGTGAACATTCATTTATAACCGAATACCCTGTAATACTCTTAAATGTTATTCCCAGCTTACGTTTATCAGAATGCCTGGCCGGCAAACAATGTCAAGCTCGGAGCTGTCACAGCGGTGAGCTTCGACAAAGCCGGCAACGTTGTAATTTTCCATCGCGTGGACCGCATCTGGGGACAGACCACTTTTGACAACAGGAACCAGTACCAGGAGAAGTACCGCGGACCTATCAGGGAGAGTACCATCCTAGCACTGAAACCCTCAACAGGAAAAGTGCAATACGACTGGGGCAAGAACTTGTAAGTAGCTATACAATCTTATTTTGTCATGTTTTCATTATATATTAGAGAAGTAATGTTTCTGATTTTTAAACTGAAATCTACATTTGGTTACAGTAATTTTCAGCTCACATGTTTTGTTTACGCGAACTTTGATTTTTGTTTATAGTACAGTCTTTAGCATTATAATTATCTGGTGCATTTAAATGGAATTGGCAATTAAAAGGAATTTTGCATTACCATTTTTGTAATATATAATATAAATAAAAGTCAGAGAGGGCGTTTAGAATAACAGCGGGGTTTTGTATGTATTTAAAGTAAATAAATCTCATTTTATTCTCAGCTTCTACATGCCACATGGCCTGACCGTGGACCCCGAGGACAACGTTTGGGTAACGGACGTGGCCATGCACCAAGTATTCAAGTTCCCACCACGCGGAGGCGATGGAAAACCGCTGCTCACTCTAGGCGAGGCCTTCCAACCTGGCACCCTTCGAAAATTCTGCAAGCCCACCTCGGTAGCAGTGCTTGATAACGGCGATTTCTTTGTGGCGGATGGATATTGCAACGCCCGAATTCTTAAGTACTCGAGAGCAGGCCAGCTTATCCTCTTTTGGGGACAGAATACCTTTTCGGGAATCTCCTACGACGTGGCGCCTCAGAATTTCTTCGCTATTCCCCATGCTCTAACCCTCGTACCAGAGTTAGATCTTCTCTGCGCTGCAGACAGGGAGAACGGGCGCGTTCAGTGTTTTCTCTCCAGCAACGGCACATTCCACTCACAGTACCACAACCAGCTGATAGGGGACCGCCTTTTCAGCATGGCCTACACCCCGGCAGCGGGTGAGTGGATCAATCTTCTCCTGGTGTCGGTTGTAATGAGGTGTCATAAGAATCTTTCGACGTTTTGACGTGTCGTCAAAATTCATTCAGCGTCGCAGAGATTCTCGATTTAATTTTCATCTTTTTTATATGTCTTTCCCCTAAATATGTTTATCCCCTTTCCGCTACAGGTGGTCAGCTGGTCATTGTGAACGGACCCACCGCCGAGTTGGGCATTCATCCCGAGCACTACAACGAGGTGCACGGTTTCGTGCTAAGCATGCGCAGCAAACAGCTGGTATCGAAGTTTGGTCCCAATAACCTGGAGTTCAAGAACCCACACGACGTGGCCGTCACAGCCGATGGCAACGAGATATATGTGGCGGAGCTGAATCCCATGCGTATCCACAAGTTTGTGCATAGGTCGCTGGTCAAGCCAATGAGCTTGTCGGCCACCAAGGACGCCCCCAGCAGCGCTATTAGCCAGGCTGTGGCAGATGAACAGGCGCCGTCACAGACAGTGCACCATCCCAGCGGCAAGGCCATTCTTGTGGCATCACTAATGCTCCTCTTCGCTGGCTCTACCTTTGCACTGGCTTTAATTTTCGCCCGGCGGAGGAAACGAGGTAATCAAGCAACCAGTTCCGCTCCACCCAGCGACCTGGTGTACCGCAAGCTGACCGCTTCTAACCAGAGTCTGTGCTGATCAACAGTGCTAACCATTCACTCAATGTCCTGTGTTGTGCTGTCACGTATACTTAACTGTATTTGTGTTCTGTATTTATAAGTTTGAACTGGTTTACCTTTAAGTTAACCTTTGAATCTCCTTATCCGGCCACATTCCCGCTTTCTTTGGTGTCGTACATTACACAGCATGTCCAATTTACTTGTGTTCAATATTGGTTTTAAAATTACATTTTGTATTACATTTTGTTGTAACTAAAATTTGTATCACATTTAGTGTTCGATATTATAACACAAACCTTATATACAAAATACATAAGCATATTTACAAAAATTATGTTTATCTTTAAGTGTATTCTGTTTTTGTTTTCGGTTTGTTTCAGTGCACGCCAGATCGCAGATCTATGCATGAGCTAAAAGGGAAAGACATCTCTCTGTGTTTCTGTGCCAGTGAATCTCATGACAATTGTTAGTTAATCCGTAATCCCGACATATCCCACAGGTTGTTTCCCCTTTGGAGCCCGCAGTCGTCGTCACGCGTGGGAGAAAAGCGAAGGCTTCAAGCTAGGCGGACTGCTCGATCGTGATCGCAATGGATTTGAAAAGCTGGACCAGAATGCCAGTGATGAAGAGCAGGAAACAAAGACGCTGGCGAGCGCACAGTTCGCCTAGGCGAAGGACCAAGACTTAAGCAGATAACGAAGCATTCCTAGTTCTAACTACCTGTACCTCATTGAAATTCCGACTTAGTTGTACTCGTGCTACGTGTCTTTTTGTTGTGATTTTATATTCCTTTTAAAAGAGGTGCATTCCGCAGATAATTCCGAGAGGTGATATTTATTTTCGATTTTATTTAAGGTTGCCTAACCATTTGTAATATATATTCTTTTAGTAATATTTTATTTTAACTTAAAATGAGATAGGCCTTTAAAAACACCATACAGTATACTTAATAGGATAGGAATACCAAAGGTACATTAAATTTCCTATTTCCCTTTTTGGGTACCTAAGAGCTCCACCGACTTTAGTCGCTTATCTCTAAATTAGAGAAAAATATATTCAACTTAATGAAATCAAGAGTTTAAAGATGTAGGCTTTTTATAAATATGTTTTATCGGACAAGTCATGAGCTCGAGGTTAACTGAGATATATCTAGATGCATAGTACGCCGCAGCCTTAGTCCAAATAGTTATTTTAATTTGTTGTTAGAATAAAGTTTTCAAAGTTTTCCGCCGAATGCACCTCATCATCTGCGATTGATTTGCCAAATAAAATATAGTCTTATGAATCTGTCACAGCTTGTGTATTTTGTTTATTCATTGTCTGCTGCTAAAACTTAACTAGAGTTCTTTATAAATAGTTTATATTGCATACTGTACGACTAATAAGGCCCCATATTGGCGAATATGTCTCCTCCTCATACTTGTCCCAGGTTGTACTGATCCCAAGAGACCTACGCTTCAGCCTCTGGCTGACAATCAAACAACCTGGGCAAGGAACCCCTCGTTCTCCTCCGTCACAATAGCATCGATGTTGTAGAAGATAGCGTGCATCGCTATTACAAAACAGGAGGCGCCCAGCGTCCAAAAGAGAACTGAGCCTGCACCCACCAGGAAAAGCACGGGCGCCGTGGCCAGATTGAGAGCTATGATCTGCTGACTGGGCGTCAACTGAAGTCCCATAACGGTGATGTTGCTATTGCGCATGCGCAGCTTGTGGCAACCGAATGCCGCGGCCGCGATGACCAGCAGGATGCAGGGAGCAGTAATGCTTTAGGAGATTACCATTAGATATATATCTTTAGCAAGGATTGGTTCCACTTACAGACAGTAGATCATCAGTACGAAGAAGATGAAGACATAGTTGGCCTGGAAGTAGGAGAGATTCCGAACAACCCGGTTGTTCAGCCGCTGCATGCTGACGGCGGTTTTGAAGTTGTTGATGTTAAAGAAGACCATCCAGGGTCGAAGGGAGTTGCGCACCATTTGGAATATCTGCATCGGTGATGGCAGGTTGGATAGGCTTGGAAGGCTATGGGTGATATGGGGAATAAGTTTAGATACTCCTTTTGTTATACGTATGTCACTAACCTATTAAGGTCCACAGAGAACCTGCCTCCAGGAGCCACTGGCTGCTGCATGTTCCCAGATAAGTTTACGCTTGCTTGAGCCATTTCGGGATAAAGTTTTTTAACCTCTTCCTAATACTAAGACGTGGGCGTACTACTAGTGTTATGTATATCTTCGCATTCGTTCCCCTTCGTTCGAGAACTATTTTTTGGATGCTGTAGCGTTTAAGCGACGGCGAGGAGTTACTTTGGAGTTACTTCTACATGGGGACGACGCGAGACTAACAGCTGCTTTCGATGTTGATACTACAATTCACTCTTAATTTGCTATGACATTGTTTTTATTTTGAGAAACAATACACAAGGTTTGAAAAAATCTGATGTGGCAGATAGTTCTAAGATAGAATTGGGTGGTGTGACCAGAGTTTGCTAATGTGCCAATTTACTAGAACAAGGCAAAGAAAACAAACCTTTTCTGATAATATTTTACTAACTTATATAAATGTATTATTCTTAATAGGTCTTAAATGAATTATTTTTTAAAATCCCTAAATCTAAAAATCGTAAAAACTGAATTATACATATTTTTATTATAGGATAAACAAATTAAATAAATCATAAATAAATTCGCAGAAATTGTTTTTGTTTAAATGTAACAGTAATATTTCCAAAATCTTTCCAAGTAAATAATTATTAACGAACAAAAATTAATTTATTGAGGATGAGTATTTTGAAACGATTGAAATAATTAGTACGTAAAAATAATAAGGTCGAAAAAAACAATCTGTCATCTATTTTTTCTTACACATGTATACAACTTAAAATTACATTGAACGGCTTAGGGAACTTTTGCGATTACATGAGGGCAAGGCGCACAGAAAAGTTAATATTTCTAAATTCAAAAAAATACAAACAAAAAAACGGTTTTTGATAATTCATTCAAAACAGCGTTATAAATGTTCGATACCAACTGCCTATCGTTCGCTTTGTTCCCGCATTCTTACGCCAGTCGCGCTTCGGTCACATTGCACGTATTTGGTTTTTGGAAAATTCCCGAAATCGGTGCAAGGCTGGAACTAAGTCGATCCTAGCACAAAATTACTTAAAAGCACAAATCCCGCAGATATATATACAAATCCGCAGATATGGCCGACGATTGGGGTGAGTTTTAGTGGGTGTGGATGAGAGCGTGGGCGGTGCGTCATCTGCGGCGGACAATAAACGTGGTCGCTGTCGTGGTTGTTGTTGTTGGAGTGCCATGCAACCAGCCTTGATGAGTATTTTTAGCCATTGCCAGCTAACCGTATTCGAAACCCCTTTTAATTTCTTCATTTTTCTGTGATCTGGTAGAATCTGCAGCAGACAGTGAAGTAGTCATCCGCCCGAATGCCGCCAGCGTAAACAAGTGGGAGGGCGAGGACGAGGATGAGGATATCAAGGTGCGTTACTTCAAAAAATTAACTGATACCGAAAGCAATGCTATATGCAAAATAGTCAACTGAACAGCAACAAAAGCAAGCGATCAAAACTTGTTTTCGTGCACTCGGTTTCACTTTCATTTCGCTGTACACGTGTGCACTTTCGCAGCAAACTGATCCGATCTTTTGTTTATTTTTAACCCATAGGACAGTTGGGAAGATGAAGAAGAAAAAAGGGACGAGGAGAAGCCCACAAAAACAGAAGCCCCAACCAAACCCAAGCCTAGCAAAGCGCTTAAGGCCAAACTGGAGCAGCAAGCGGTAGGTAGACCTCTTCCTGTTCTTTGACTTCTTACTAAATTGTTATTCTCCACAGCGCCTGGAGGAAGAGGCTGAGGAGCAACGATTGGCCAACCTTACGCCTGCGGAAAAACTAGCAGAGAAACTACGCCTGCAAAAGATTCAAGAGGCCTCGGACCTCAAGCATGCTCAGGATGCTTTCGGCGTGACGAGTACGTGCGGCGGCCTGGACGCCTTCAATCCAGAGAGCAAGGAGGAGTTCAAGGAGTTTGGTGCCACGCTTAGCTGGAAGGTATCCCAGTTACGCGAATCGGAGCATTTTCCACAGTTCGTTGAGGACCTAGTGCGCAGCTTATGCATAAATCGTGAGTGATTAGTTGGCTTACACCCGAATACTCCTTATCTGATTTGATTTTCTACCTTATCAAGTGAGTGCCACTGACATTAAAAAGGTCAAAATGAACGTGGAGATCTTGCACTCGGAAAAGTTGAAACTGGAAAAGGCCAATGCCAAGAAGCCCGCTGGCAAGGGAAAGGGCAAGGTCACGCTTCGCAATAACAACGATGTGAGTGTTTCGAATTCACTTTATATTTATTAATTACTAATTGTATACTTTCGCAGGACATTGACGATTACCAAAAGTACGGAAATGACTTCACTGGAGACTATGACGACTTCATGTGAATAGGATTTATAAAGTAGCCCCCATATATATAATTATTGAATACATAGTTGCTTGTTGAACAGTTCTTCTTGTTAGAGATGCTGCGCAGGAATATGAGTCCTTTGTTGAATATAAAATAGCAGAACCTATATAAATATGTACATATATATTTATATGACCATACAGAACACAAAAAAAAGTCAAGTCAAGTCAGGCAATCAAGAAACCTCAACGAAAATGCAAATCCAACTCCAAACCGAAAGAATATTTAGGCAACTGACTTATGGCAACTGCATATGTCGTATTCGGAATGGCTTCTTGTGAAATTAACTTTTGTATAAAGAATAAAAGTACAGAATCGATATTAAACAGTAAAATAGAAAATATTGGTTTACTTTATTAATTTCTAATCGCTTTCAGAATCCGTATTTTTATGAAAGAATCAAGGAGTTCCCATGTATTGAATAAAAATGCATTGATTATCTATTGATCATAGTTCCCGTCTTCAACTTTTGGAGAGTGGATACCCTAACCTTAGGGTAATTCGCTGTGAATGGTTTTGTTTGTAGGTGCAAGAAGAAGAATTAAAAGTAATGTTGTTTGCTTTGGCTTGAAACAGACTACCAAATAAGTAGCTAATTTGAGTTTGTGTCACTAAACTACTTGTAAACTAATTTATTTCATGATTTCAACGTTTTCATGAGTTAAAAAATGGAATGAAATTGTTTCTTATCGTAGTTTCTTATTTCCTTTTTGTCCATCTTTTTGAATTTATCTAACTTTCAGTCAGCTCCAAACTAGCCAGATTACCATCGCTGTCGTAATTCGACACACGTGCGAGTTATCAACAACCAACAAGAATGACGGATTTTAACAAGTATTGCCAAGGTTTAACAAGTTTTTATATCTTCATAAACGGCATTAAAAACCCTTTATCCTTGTAGAGGCGGCCGAAGAGGAGCTGCCGGACTCCGAAGACGAGGAAGACATCGGCGACGAGGATACTTGTAGCGCTCAGGAGCTTGCAGCTTTATTTCAACACCAGTACAGGCCACATGATGAAACCGGTGTTTCCTTGCAGCGAGAATATGTGCTCAATCTGTCAGCAGATCAGGGATTCACGCGGATTGCCGCCGGATTATCTAGTTCCGCCGTTCATATCTACAACCTGGATGCAGGCGCTGGAAAACTAGCCAACTTCAGCTTCTTGCCGCCTACAGATTGTCCGAAACCAGTAAGCGTTTGTGGTGTGCGCTTTCTTGATGAGGGACCACATAACGTCCTGGTGGGCACCACCGATGGCTATGTGCGCCTCTATGATCTGCGTCTGAAGGGAGAGCAAGCAAGGTTTAAATACACCCAGAATGAGGGGATTGCTCCGGTGCCCAAGTCCATCACGTGTTTTGACAGGAACGGCAATGGTCGAATTATATGCTGTGGCACCGAACAGTTTCACAACAACTCGTTCCTGCTGTTCTATGATGTCCGGGAGCGTCGGCAAATGGGAGTCTATTGTGACAGCCACGAGGGCGATATCACCTCGGTCCGGTTTCATGAACAGAACCCTGATCTTCTGGCCACGGGCAGCGTGGACGGACTTATTAACATATTTGATGTTAAGGAGGCGGACGAGGATGAGGCCTTGCTCAATACCTTTAACACGGAGAGCAGTGTGGGCCGCCTGGAGTGGCACAAAAATGTCTACGACAAGGACATCATATCCTGCATCACGAACACTGGTGATTTTAAGAGCTACGAAAGTGAGGAAGGCGACGAGGTAGCCTCCTTTGAGCGGTCTTATGTCACAGAGGCTATTAGGCGGAAAAAGGCAGCAAATTTCAACTTGATTAGTGCCCATAACCAGGAGGACGGAGGAGTCTTTCTACTAGCGGGCACAAATTTCAACAAAGGGTGTGTTTCATAACAGTTATTTTTCTAGAATCAAACTAACTAAATATTTTTCAGGGAGATCCTGCGATCCGTGAGCGTAACATCGAAAAAAAGTTTGCAGCCGTTGGCCAATTTTCAGGGAAATAAGCAAATCGTTAGAGACAGTTTGTTTGATAGCAAGAGGGGATTACTGTTAACAGGTGGCGAGTCCGGCATTGTTACAGTTTGGACACAGGAATCAAGCGGGGCAAGCGTCAGCAGTGATAAGCTTAAGGTCAAGAAGGAAAAGAAGTCTCGCAAGCAGGCTCCATATTAAATTTTTTTATAAATAAAGAATTTAAGTAATTTACATTTATTTGATAGTCTGGCAACTTTGGGAGTAAGATGTGGAAACGTTACTATTTTACCAGGTTACTTTGATACGTTGATGTTTTCTGGCTGACAGAGACTCGCTGATGTGAAATAGGGTCACTGACGTAACAGGCTTACGTTTAATGAAGAAGGAGTAGCATACTTTTGGTATCACTTTTTTTGCCTACATGTTTTAATATCTACATCTACATGAATTGAGGGTAATAAATTTGAATTAACTAATTATTATTAAGTAATAAGCAAATTACAAATTAGATAAATTACATTTGAATATTTTAAATATTCATTATATACTTATTTTTGTAAATTTAAAAAAATGAATTTTAAATATATTTTTAAAGCTTACAAAAATGTATTTCCGACATTTGTAAATTGTTTAAAAAATTCTGCTTAAGTTAATACATTGTTATAGCTTAAATCAATATTGTTTAAGGCTTAGAAAATATTTCTATATCATTTGCCATGAGAAAAACCCACCACCACCCTACCACCGGCGATAACTATTCCATTTACCCTCTAACCTGTGCACTCATTGCTCATTTTCCGTTTGCAAGCTGTGCTATGCTGGGTACAAAAAAATTAGCACATCCTCAGCGCAGATAAACGCATCCTTAGAACGGCCCCTGCCCCTCCCACCAACCATTCCATACATCCCTTCGCACAGAGAGCGGCCCAATTAGTGCTGCAGTAGGCATTTCGAATCCGTGCCCACAAATCGGACTAATCCTCTGCCACTGCCTGCCTGTCCATATCCCAGATTTCCGAGTCTCAGAGTCTAAATGTTGACAAATACAACACCTACGATACAAATAAAATTGCTACAGAAGTACCACCTAAAAACGGGCACAACCGGAACGACTTAATTTTCTCAAATTTACAGAAACAGAAACAGAAATGGGAATGGGAATGGAAATGGAAACCTAGAAAGATATCTCGACGCCGCCGCCACTGAAGCTGTGGGTTTACTCCTGCCGAGCGAATCCAACGCGAATAGGGTCCCATTCGGAGACGGAGTAGCCAGAGTCCTGCAGCTCACTCGAAACCGCCACTCACCGTGGCTAATTGCCCATCAATAAAGGCTCTGACTGCGAGGAATTCCTTCGAAACCGGAGTCTTCCGTTCTCCGGCCGAAGATTTCGTCGAGCAACCAAAATATTATGGTGTGCCCCGCTGTTCTCGCACAGTCAGCGCGAATTTGCTGCGGTAAGTCGATGTGCTGTTTGTGCAGTTACTTCTTTCTCTTTCTGGTCCCTATGCTATGTTTGGCTCCTTTGGCGGCACACAGTGTCCTGTCGTCGTTGTTTTTCTGTGATTTGACATGTCTGTTAGCAGGATGCCTGACCCTGAGTCCGATTCTTCGGCTCAGTGTTCCACTTTGATGTGATTCGTCAGTGCGGTGGACTACTGCTACTGCACTCCTCCTAGGACTATGTCTTGAGTCCTTTTTCAGGCTGCCCCCCTCCAGTGTCCTGTGACCCTGCATTTTGCGGCTTTCCAACAGCGTTTGTTGGCGAATCTGACCCCGAGCTCCTGCTGCTCCTCCGCTCTTCTTCGCCCGAATCCGAATTGGTCACAGGTTCAATTGAATTGCCAGAGAGACCGCAATGCGCTGTATTTATAGTAAACGTGTCCGATTGATTTGGCCACCCGTGGGGAGTCTGTCACAGATGCCTCAATTTGCATCTATCAAATGGTTTTACCTTGCTATAAAAAATAGCCCTGGATTGGTCATCAAAGTTGGGTCCTTATAATAAAAGAGCATGCTTATTAACTTTTAACATTTAACCTTTTATTAATAACTAGATAACATTTACAAGATGCGTTTGCGTTTCTTATCCAGAAAATCAAACATTTTTATGGGCCTGTAAAAGTTAAAACTCAGCAAATGAGTTCTGCAAAAATAATATTTAGATATACAATTTATTAGAAGTTAATGTATTGATAAATATATAATATTTGTTTAGTTTTTTATGTGTGTTTTTTTTTATGATTTTAGAGTAATGTAACCTTTTATCAAATACCTAATAAATCAAATCAATTAATTAATTAATATATTTACGTTCTTATCTTTCAGTTTTCCCTCATTGATAGTTTCCCAAGATGATGGTCCTAAAAATCCCTCCTCTCCAAAAACATTATCCTAAAAAAGAAACCGCTAATCATTGGACAGCACAAAGGACAGACAATCGCTCACCTAATTATTTGGCCCGATTGTGAGGGCCGGGCTAACGGCTCGTGGACGCTTTTTGTGGCCTCTTTTTGTTCGACAAAAAGCGAGCCAATTTTTTTTCTTTCTAGGCCACTTTGTTGCTCTTTTTATGAGTTTTTACCATTGTCACAGTTTTTCCCTGCCTCGATCCTCGGATATGCCTGCCCTACAAACCTCCTAATTACGGCAGTTAGTCGTTGTCCAGCGGGAACGGACATGCGGACATTCGGAAGGACATGCGTCCGTTTTATTGCACGCTCGAATTTCCACTAAAAATTGGACCGAAAAAAAAAAAATATAAAAGAATAAAAACTAGGTAGGACTTTGGGACAAACAAGCCAAGCAAAGCGGACGCGCCTTTTTATTGGTGCACCTTCGGCGGAACCGCAGGACAACGAAAACGACGATGACGAAGGAACGAAGGAACCTCGATCGCGGCAGGGAAATCGAGAGCGACCTCGCTGCATTAGAAAACTAGATCAGTTTTTTGTTATGCCCTGCTCTCTTTATGGTTTATGGCCCCGTTTCCATTTCCTCCTCAGCCATGCTCCTTTGTTCCGGGCCAAACAAATTCTGGATGGAATTATGGTATATGCAGATTTTTATGGGTCCGACGATCTAGTTCGCGGAATGCGGTAGTGTCCTGCCGCGAGGACCATAGCGACGGTCCACGTCGGCCGTATTAGGAAAGTAGATCACGTTTTTTGTTTCCATTGTTTGATTTTTTCGCTGCGCTAGTTTTTTTCCCCGAACCCAGCGAACTGCTCTAATTTTTTAATTCTTCACGGGTTTTTATGTTGGGCTCCTGGAAGAGCGCGGACAAGGTTAGCGCTCTACTTACCTGTAATTGTGGCCATAACTCAGACTGCTCTCGTTTTTAAGATCCATTTGTCTGCTTTGGCATTCATATTTTTATGAGGTCGTTCCTTTTCCCCCGAGCTAGGCATAAAATATATGCCAGTTTGTTTTGTCATAGGCAATTATTGGAAAATTTTAGTTTCGATTTCCCTCAGGGTTGTGTCATAAACATCTCCAGGGTTCAAGTCTAGTGAAGCTGCCTTGTATAACCATTGGCGAGATGAGGCAATGCTTTTGCTTAAACTTTCATCAAGAGCTTCTTTTTTTTATAATTCCCATATAAACGCTGCTAATTTGTCGATTGTCTGGGAAGCCTTCTCAGAGCTGAAACCACTTTTTTATGATGTTTGTAAGAAAATTAAATTACTTATGTTGTTATACACTCCTCAGACATTTTATGGTTATTTGAGTGCGGGGAGTAAAGTTGTGTCTTAAGTGGAGGATGGAAACCACCACATTTATTCGAGGGATGATGTGCTCTAATATCCGAAAAATAAATGGCATGTTTCTCCACTTCTTTCTGCAGAGAGTGAAGTGGGGTATAGGAAATCTGAGGCGGAGTTAAGCGAAAAGTGTAAAGGAAACTATAAAATCTTTTAAATGTATAAAAAGTATTAACAAATCATTTATAAAATTATCAAAGGTTATTTTTAACCAACAAAAAACTTAGAAAATATATACTAAAAAACTTTGACAGCCTAACAATGAAACAAATGTCTGCATATGAAGAATTTGTTTAAATAAAATGAAAAGAAAAATGAAATGAAAGTTTCGAGATTATTCCCAGCAGTCTCACCATTTCTTCTCAATAAATCTTAAAACCTTAATTTGTATCATATAATATGCATTAATTTACCTAATCTTAAAATATATATTAAAGAAACAAACACATAATCACTATTAATATAAAAAATCAGGCAATAAATGGCATTCTGCCCAAGTAGTCAGCCTTTAAGGATTCAGCATTGAATCACTTACTCAACCCATTCTGTCGTCGCAATCATCATAAATTTTTCGGCCCCTTTTTGTTGTAATTGTTTTATTACAGAAATTACTCAATCATCAAGCATAATTTGCCTCGTTTTCGTCGTTTTATTGCCAATTTTTGCACTCTCTTGCCTTTTTCCTTGCCCTTTCCAACGCGTTTTGCGAATTTTTCTTTGGCATTTCTATATTGCGCGGACAATTCGTCTAGTGTGTTGGCCATTTACTTGCCAATGATGACGGGCATAATCAGCGAGATCGGCGCTTTGTGAGTGCAGAATGTGCAATAAACTGGCAACAAATGGCTAGGGATTCGCTTCCGAGTATTCTCCGTAGACCAATGCTATAGCCGGAGAAATGCGAAAGTGTTTGCGGATCGAGGTATTGGGATTGAGTTAAGGGCAGGTACTTCTTCAGCCAGACACTTTCGCCTAACCCGAAACTCAGTAACCCAGCAACCCAGCAACCCAACCGATCGCCATAAAGGGTATTTACTGTCGCTGCCGCAGCATCGCTTGACGACTTAACCCAAGCGGTCCATTCTCCGGACACAAGACGGACGGAGTCAAAGACAAAAGGGCCAAGGCGTTGGACAATAGGCAAGGTTGTAGGTTGTGGGTAGGGTTTCGAACGAACCTTTACCGGTCAAGAAGGCTTGTCTGGCTGGGCCTTTTCCAGGTCATGGTATGGTGTGGTAGTGGTAGGAATGTTAGGTAGATCCCAAAGAGGCACCTCGGCGAGTTAATGCCAATGCAAATTGCGGCGCAATATAACCCAATAATTTTAACTAACTCGCAGGAGCGCGATATCCTTCTTGGTTACCCGGTAATGCATAACAATGGAAATGAGAACAACCGGGACAGAAACTGGGACAGAAACAGAGATCTTGGTGATCGTAGATGGGAGGAGAATGGCAGAATGACAGATCGCAGATCGAAGGTTCCTCTCGCTCTGTGTGTGCCGTGTTAATCCCTTTGCCATCAGCCAGATTATTAGTCAATTTTAGAGTTTTCGCTTTTAGTCCCTTCGTTTCACTTTCGAGTTAGATTTTATTGCAGCATCTTGAACAATCGCCGTAGTTTGGTAACATGCTGTGCTCTACTTTCTTCGTCTTCAATTGCACGGAATTAAAGGGAAATGCTCGGAGGTTGAGATCGAAGGACCCTGACTATATACCGAAAACCGGGTTGCAAAGTCAGGGGATTCCAATATATCAATTCCGCGCTATCCTATCGCACTCGTTTTTGTTTGTTTGTTTGCTGGGATTAGCCGAGGGCTTGACTTGGCTTCGAGCCTAGTCCAGGCCCATGTCCCTCTGCCCTTTTCATTAGAAAGTCATAAAAACACATAATAATGATGTCGAAGGGATTAGAGGGGCATATATGTCCAGGCAGCGCAATTAACGGACTAGCGAACTGGGTTATTTTTTTGCGCCGACTTAACCCTGATCCCCGAGCTTAACCCGTTTGAGCCGCATCAGGTAGTTAGTGGACCCTCCGCACTTTTTTGTTACTACTCTCTCCGCCATATCCATCCTCACTTGCGCAAATTACAAGACAAGTTCGCTGCCCCAAAAGGACACTCGCTCCTCGGTACAGTTGCCTCTGGGCATGATTATATCATCATAATAAATGTTTTGCCAAACGAATCCGAAAACTTTTCAAATTAAGTCCCGGCAACTGCGTCCCATGCTTTTTTTCCTTTTCCAGTTTGGAGCAAGGCAGCCATTATCTTGCCATGGGATTCTATACCAAATGGTTATGGGTGGAAAGTGTCCCCCCCCCACTCCTTTCGAGGGGGTTGATGAAGCTCACAGAAAGCCAGAGATACCCTTGTAGTAGCTGCTAGTGTGAGGCTGTTAAACGTGCGGCATAATATTAAGACTTCATAAAAGCGCAAATAATTCGCTGGCAGCCGATCGATAAATATATATATATATATATATAGCTGGGTACATGCTATATACAAGATACAAACACCACCCGACTGAACGGCATAATGCCATATCATTCTTGATGAAGCCGATAAAATCCCATTATTAAGGGGGCCCGCCCGTCCCGCTTGCTCCTGCAGAGATGCCGCCTGCGGGCGGACGAGACAAAAGATTCGCTCATCCGCTATGAATACCAAATCTGCGCTCTCTCTCCAAGATTGCCATAGCTAGGACAGGACAGGACAGGAGGTCCTCCCGAGGAGAGTTCAGCTCCATCCCGCTGCTCCTCCGCTTTGTCCCGCCTCGTAATTGCCGCTCAGCATCCCAGCAGCAATCTCTCAGTACCGCAACATTAGCACCGCTCACATGCTATCCCTTTCACACTTGCCTGGCCCGCTGTGATTGGCCGACCCAACGACGGCGGCCATTTGCCTGCTGAGCACGAGCGGTATAAAAGGTGGCGGGGTGGCTGAGAGCAGCACACTCGAACTGTGACCGCCGCACAGTCAACAACTGCCTCTGAATATCTAATCAAGAAAAAGAAACACTTTTCATCCACAACTTTAAAGAAAGCATACGAAAGATGCACGGATATCGAACCTACAACATGGACAGCCATCATGCCCACCAACACGACGCCAGTCCCGTGGACCAGAAGCCTCTGGTTGTGGACCTTTTGGCCACCCAGTACGGCAAGCCCCAGACACCGCCTCCCTCCCCAAATGGTAAGTTTAAAGATGCAACCTTCAATTTGTGGCAAGTTACTTACTCTTGATCTCTCTTCTCTCCAAACAGAATGCCTATCCAGTCCGGATAACTCTTTGAACGGCAGCCGCGGCTCGGAGATTCCCGCCGACCCGTCGGTCCGTCGCTACCGCACCGCCTTCACTCGTGACCAGTTGGGTCGTCTCGAAAAGGAGTTCTACAAGGAGAACTATGTCTCCCGTCCCCGTCGCTGCGAACTGGCCGCCCAGCTGAATCTCCCGGAGAGCACCATCAAGGTGTGGTTCCAGAATCGCCGCATGAAGGACAAGCGCCAGAGGATTGCCGTCGCCTGGCCCTATGCCGCCGTCTACTCTGACCCTGCCTTCGCCGCCTCCATCCTCCAGGCTGCTGCCAACAGTGTGGGCATGCCCTATCCTCCGTACGCTCCTGCCGCCGCTGCCGCTGCTGCTGCTGCCGCCGCCGTGGCCACGAACCCCATGATGGCCACAGGAATGGCCACTGGAATGCCACCGATGGCCATGCCCCAGATGCAAGCCATGCAGATGCCCGGACATTCGGCCCATGCTGGACACCCCTCGCCCTATGGACAGTACCGCTACACACCCTACCACATCCCCGCTCGCCCGGCTCCGCCACACCCCGCTGGCCCTCATATGCACCCGCACATGATGGGATCCAGCGCATCGACCTCTTCATATTCCGCCGGAGCCGCCGGTCTTTTGGGTGCCCTGCCTTCCGGCTCCTGCTACCCCGGATTGGCTGTGGGTGTGCCCAAGACCCAGACACCGCCGCTGGATCTGCAGTCCTCCTCATCGCCGCACTCCTCCACGCTGTCGCTCTCGCCAGTGGGATCCGATCATGCCAAGGTGTTCGACCGCAGTCCAGTTGCTCCTCCAGCTCCCGTTCCATTGACCACCACCAGCCCGCTCCCTGCTCCCGGTCTCCTGATGCCCAGTGCCAAGCGACCAGCCTCCGACATGTCGCCGCCACCAACGACCACCGTGATTGCGGAGCCCAAGCCGAAGCTCTTCAAGCCCTACAAGACTGAGGCGTAAGCCCCTGATCTCGATATCACGCATCCTGATTCCCCAAAGATTGTACAAACTAGTTTTAGTCAGCCCCTGCTATTTATTCCCGAAGATTGTACCATACTGTAAAGTAAAGTCAAAGTTAAAGTTAAAGTTAAAGTAGCTAATTGTAGTCGTAATTAAGGCACAAAATCAAAAATAAATGCGAAAATATTTGAAAATTATATGACACATCTTTTAAACTGACTACCTGGCCAAGTGGTGGGAGTTATAGGAGTGTACCCTATACCTGAGTTGCTTTTATGGACCTGGCTTTTTGGATTAGCCATGGAGAAACCTGGCGAGACAGCTGCTGCTTCGACTGCTTAGGCTGCTTCATTGCGACCTTCGTAGGGAAACTGTGGCAAATCGAACGGCAGAGCGTGTGTCCGAGTGTCCTTCGGAGTGGCCACCCACAATCAGGAGTAAGGGTTTCCAAATAGGGATATGGATGCCCCGGCGGGGGAATGACAACGACATCCACGGGGGTTTGGCACAAGCCAATGGGTAGCCACCCCGCTGGTCAGAGACCTTGGAGTGGAATTGGGCCCACTCCCTGCCACGCGTCAGGTTGCATTGTCTACGGTATCAATTTCGGTGTCCTCGGATTGGATTGGGCTCGGCTAATTAATTGTCACCTCACCCGTTGTGCTAGCTATTACCAATCTCTGTTCATTCTTCCCTGGCCTTATGTTTGTTTTCTCTTTTCCGGTCGTCAAACAATTGTCATAATTGAGAAATCATCAGAAAGGATCATAACGGGAGAGTAAGAGGTGGAAGTCAAGTCCTTCCTAAATCAAATCCTCATTTAATTGCCAGGCAAAACATGTGTTTGAATTGCTCAGCCTCAGGACAGGACAGGATTAAAGGGGTGTCAATTGCTCATAATCCCGCAGCTAAAAAACCAGAGTCGACAAAAAGGCAGGGCCATGAATCGAAGTGGAGTGGGTAAACGATGTGAGATAAAAGGATATACAAGGATACAGATATAGATAGCCGAACCCAAAGAGTCACCCCTGATCTCCCGGGCTGTGTCTAATATCTAATTGAGGGCCTGGCATCAAAACATGTTTTGACACTTGCCAGCCGAGTCAGAGGCGTATAAAAAATGGTCCGTGAAGTGTTATCCTTGGAGTTGGAGTGGCAGAGACGGGCAAAGAGTGACGGAGTGTGGCACACCCCTTTCTTTTGGTTACTCCTGGTGTTTGGCTGGCTGGTGTTCTCACTTGGGGGATGCAAGCACACAAGTGGCAGCATTTTATGATTTGATAATAAAGATACGCGCCACGGTTTTGCCCCGGGGAATTCCCCCAGCAGATTCGGATACAGTAAATTAAAAAATAGCCAAACAGGAAATCTCTGCAGGATTGTCAGAGGAAGGGGCTGAATCCAATTGCTGGGTGGTTGATATAGCGCAGGTTGATAATTAATCATGTGGGGATTAGGGATTAGGTATGTTGAAATACGAAAATCATCAACTTGTTTATGGCAAAATTATGCGACAAGCTGCCGAAATGGCAGGCTAGAGGATTAGCTCGACCAAAGTCCAGATGGGTATGGCTGGAAACAGCTGCTCATCGTTCTAGCGGCATAAAAGAGTTAACTGATTTCGAGTCGAGTTGAGGGAATAAATGCGATATTATTATCAATTAGTCATTCGACTCTAATTCGGCATTGTCTCCGCGGGAGAATCTTCTTTTATGGAGGCAATCAATGCTGAATACTGGATCCGATGGATACATGAGTTGCGCAGATGCTTAGATACACAGCCTGCTATGAATGGCTGCCACTTCATGCGAAGTTCTCCCACGTCTCCCACGAAACAATGCATTATTCAAGAGCCCAAGGCTCTATACGTTTACCATATGATGTGCAAACAAAATTAAGTTTTATTGGGGCGTGATGAGTGAGGGATTGGTTCAGACTTCAGGCTTCAGGCTTCAGGTCTGGGTTTCTGTTTCAGTTTCTGTTTCTGATTTCTTTTAATAGTGAATTAGCACCTCGGAATTGGCCATTTATGGCCCTGCTCTCCGCTTTCCAGCTGCGGAGCCGACAAAAGGCAGCTTTTGTGGCCAAGACGACCGCATTTTCGGGCTCTCCATCGATTTATGAGCTACGAATTTCACACTAACTGTCAATGAATATAAAGTGATCATCAGAGGGCCTAGCCAGGCTAGGGAGATCTTCAACGGCAAGATCTGAAGATGGAGCCAAGGGATCCAGCTGTTATCCAATCCTAGAGAGAGAGAGAGAGAGATTCCCAGAGCTCTGGTCTCTCCATTCACATAGCAATTGTGGCCAAGAGCTGAGAGCGCTAAACGAAGTTGAAAATGCTTTATGACTCCGCCAATAGATGCCTCAAAGGTGAAGATTAGGGGGTTTTGCAATCAGCCAGCGGATGAATAAACATCTTTGTAAAATGATGATGCCAGCACTGAAATAATTTCACACGTTTCTCGCACACACAGCATATACTCTAGCATACGAATATATGCGTCATGTATCTCAGAAAGACTCAAATTCAGATTCATATATCTGTGTATCCATGACATGTTAGCCAATTTGCACGCTGTCCATTAACGGACCCTGTGCCGTTTATCGGATTCGAATTAATTCTGCCATTCGTTTTCATGGTTATTAACGGACTGATAATCGCGACAATCAAATTCATGTTTTGCCAACATTTCCATACGGCTGGTGGTGGGTGATTCGCTACCATTGGCAATTGGTCAGGGTTCACTGTAAATGGTCGAGTCAAATGGGAAGCGGCAGTTAAAGGCCCGAATCAATTGCCCTGATGGATGCTGCGGCTGTCCAGAGTTGCAGCTTTTCGGGTCATTCAGAAGGGGGGGGCAGAGCCAGTGGCAGGAGAGGGAGGACTATAAATCTGCAGGCCAGATAATGAAACTAGAATGATTGCGGCAATCACTGGTGTGGCCAGCAGTCAGAGGCTGTCCTCTGCGCATGTCCTGCATATATGTATATACTCTCCTCACATAGCGATAGATACAGATACGGATACATAGAACACTTTACATTATGTGGCGAAGGACTGCCGATTACCGATTCCGCAGTTCAGGGCCTTCAGACTTTCAGATCCTGCGCACGACGTGTCAACTTTATTGCGGTTTGACTTTGCCGCCGCCCCGTCAAACCAGGAATACTGGACCCAGCCACCTTAGACTCTCGCTCTCTCTCTCACTGACCCTCCATTTCCATGATTTACAATTCTCGTTTTTTTCGCGTTATTTTTTTAGGGGCTTTAATGGCCATCGTAAAGCCGCAGGAGGACTAGGATTCGGATACGGGCACTCTCTGCTCACATTTCGCGCACTGATTCTAAAAAATGAAATCATTTTTTCTCGAATTTTACGAGCAGGACTCTTTGTCCTGGCCAGGCCCTCGTCCTTTTTTGAGCTGGCCTCTCAGTTTTTTTTTCACGTCCACTGGGCATTACCTACACGGCGTTTTATGGCGGAGATGATATTCGCTCGGGCTCGGTTCCGTTTTTTAGGCCATAAAAATTAGGCGGCATAAAAAAACTGCATTGGAATTCTAGTTCTAGTTTCAGGTTTTTAGGTTTCCAGGTTTCTTGCCAGCCCGGATAAATTCGCAATTCGCAGAATTCGGAAGCGGAACAGAATGCCAGGATGAGGATCCTCGGCTGACCTTGCCTTTTGGCCAGGGGCCGTAAAAAAATTGACTCGCTGCGGTGCGCGCGAAATATATTTTTTAAGAACTGACTTTCCAACGATCCTGATCTGGGTTGGCAATCGTAAAAAAATGAAATGCAGAACAAAAAGCGGGCATTTCGACTGCAAATGATCTGTTAATGGGCCGGGCTAAAAAAGTAAGTCACAAAGTCACAAGGTTGTTGAGGGCAAATCGACCTGGTTAAGCATGGTGTCACATACCAAGAAAGCGGCAGGACTCTGTGGACTTCAAAGCTTCCACCGCCCGAAGGATTCCCCAGAAGAAGGATTCACACGACTGGCGGGGATCCCCCTTTTAACTGAACCGCTAACAGCCACAAAAACCAAGTGACATGCAAATTAGGCGAATTAATTGTGGCCAGTGGTCATGCCCATTAAGGGAGTCCTGACCTTGCCGCTCTGGATCTCCCTCCCCGTATTTTATCAGCCAAAGGAACCGCCAACGGCAGCAGCAGCAGCACCACCACCACCATCAACACCACAACCACCGATCGAATGACCTTCGACCTTCGACATTGTTATCTGCGTGCTGCGATTTTTGTGTTCTTTTTTCACAGGCCATTTGCCTTCGCTCCTGCTGTCCTTCGTGTCCTTTTAGCATGCGTGTCCTTTTTAGCATGCTAACATGCTAAAAATCAAGATCTCGAAAATCTGCGCGATCTTAGCCGGAATTTCTAGCGGGATTAGTCGTTTATGGCCCACGCCCTCAATCCTCCATAAAACACTAAGCGCTTTCGCCTAATGTATCTCCGAATATCTGGATATCTGAGTATCTGGGCATCTGTATCTGTATCTGTCGCCTCTGATGAATAAATAACTTTTTAATATAGTTCTACTCAAAATGGCTCCCACTCATCCATCCCCATTGGCAGCTGGATGAAACCGGCATCCGGAAGCAAGGGAGGGGAGATCCAAAAATATCTCATGGATGCCATCAATTAGCATACAATTAAAAAATGCTTAAACAGGGAAATCGACTTTTGGTTGCGAGTGGTTTGGCCACAGATGCAGCCGCAGCCGCAGAGAGGAGATACATTTGTATCTCCAAGTGGCGGGCAGCAGATCAAAGCGACGACAACATAATTGCTGCTTCACTTCACAGTTCTCAGGCACTTAAGATATATAGTAGTAGTCCCGAGTCCGGATCTGCAGCTCCCATTTATCGATCTTATTTTTTATGTCTGACTGATGGTGGGCCTGTTGAGGACCGATGGCGCCTGCTAATTGAGATCGCGGCGATCCTTTTGGGCAGCCACTTGAGGACATGTCCTTCTGCTTAGCAGAGATGCGGAAGTGCAGGACTTCCTAATGTCCTTGAGGGATCAAAAAGGGGATCTAAATCGGTATAGAGATCTGCACTGGAGTGTCACAACTCAGTAATGATAAGCAGGAGGAAGTACTGGAACATCCACTCCTACCTGATCCCACTGATCCGCGACAAAGTCCGAGACAAATCCACAAATATTTTCAAC